TGTGTTTTAGACTATAACTGTTCATGGGAGTAGAAAGCCCAGTCTTACTTTCAAAGAGCTGCTGGTGGTTTTGAACTGCTAACCCTGCAGATCACAGCCCAACATGTAACCAATGCAGCACCAGGGCTCCCCATCCTCTCTAAATAGTCTCCCAGTAGTACAACTCACAAGAGCGGCATGTAATCCATAACAAAGTGGGGCATAAGCTATAAAGCTGAGTCGACCTGGTGCCTCATTCAATATGAAAGTTTGCTGGTACTGTCAGAAATTTCAACACTCCAATCAGGTATTCACAACGCAGAGCCCTCGTCTTCCCATGAGTACGTGCAGGAGCCCCAGATGTTGAAACAGGACCAATTTTCTGGCTAACAAATGAATCTTGAAATGTTTATATGAACAAAGGCAGTGCATCAATATGATGTTTCCTTCTGGGTCAACTTCCCATGGGAATGATGGACAGGGTATCTTTCAGGTCTAAAGGGTATGGCTTAGGAAATGCCCCAAATGGGAGCATGGGTGCCCTGAGCAACAGCAGATGATACAGCTATTATATGCCATACACGTTGCTGTCATTCAGGAAAAATCAAAGGCACTGATTGTTCGGGGACTAAAGTGACACATCACAATTTTTCTGAAATCAAGTTCCAATTACAGCCAGTGTTGATACTTCCCCCATTTTAAGGATGAGAGAATTCTCTGCTACAGTTTCAGAAACCTCACTCCAAAAACGCAGAGGAGTCACCCTGTGTGTACCACTTCTAGCTGAGAGGCTTGACAGGGCCTGGATACAGAATCAACACTGTGGGGACCTGCTATTCCTACCACTTCTGGAAGGAGAGACTGTCCCTTGGATGTTCACACCCTCTCTCCCTTGCTATCAAGTCCTTAATGCTTTTCCACAGCACTGAATACAAAATCAAGAATATCCTCTTTGAGATCATTACAAGAGACTCTACAGGAAAAGCAAGTTATTTAAAATCCATTGTTTATGCAGACGAAAGGCGATCTTTGGAGGATCAATGCTTTCCGGTAACTGTGAACATAAAGGAATTCTTTTTCTCTACCAGGAAGCCTAACCACATGGACTCCACCTCCTGCCTGAGGCAGAACTCACCATTCCTGGCATCAGGAAAACAGGTCCAAGGCACAATCTGACATCTCCAAGCCATCCAAAGTCATTGGCTGCAGGATGTTTCTGCCTCAGCTTTCCTCCAGCACACACTCACTCACTGAGCTGTTGGGCAGTTGGCTCCTAAGCCAAGAAAACTGGAAGTATCACTACATACCGCCTTCTCTGGGCGAAGCAAAATTGTAGCCATATTTGCTGTTGGCAAAGGCTGTCCCCCACTCAGAGGTGGAATCTAACTGGCCTCTTCAATGATGTCCCTACACATGCTAATACAGAATCCTCAGCTTTACACTTTTAATTGGTAGCTGACTCTGGGTCCTCCTCTCCCAGGCATTTCAAAGGGGTTTTCATAGCACAGGCATACTTAATGCAGACTGTGGGCAGCCATTACTTTGCACCAAGAAATCTTTTTATTGCCGTTAGTTGCTATTGAGTTTGGCTCTAACTCATGGTGAATTTATGTGTAACGGATTAAAGTACTTCCTCCTGCACCGTCTTTTAATTTTTAAAAAAATCATTTTATCGGGGGCTCTTCCAGCTCTCATAACAATCCATACATCAATTGTATCAATCATATTTGTGTATATGTTGCCATCATCATTTTCAAAGCATTTTTTTCTACCTGAGCCCTTTGTATCAGCTCCTTTTTCCCTCCCTTCCCCACCCTCCCAAACCCTTGATAAATGATAAATTATTGTTATTTTCATATCTTACACCATCCACTGCCTCCTTTCACCCACATTTCTGTTGTTCGTCCTCCTGGGGAGGGGCGGGGTTCTAAGTTGACCATTGTGATCAGTTCCCTCTTTCTCTCTCCCCCTTCTGCCCTTACTTCGCTCCCACCCTCATGGTATCGCTACTCCCATTATTGTTCCTGAGGGGTTTCTCAATCCTGGATTCTGTGTCAAGGGCTTTTATCTGTACCAATGTACATGCTCTGGTCTAGCTGGATTAGTAAGGGACAACTGAGTCATGATAGTGGGGAGGGGTGGGGTGAGGAAGCATTAAAGAACTAGAGGAATGTTGTGGGTTTTGTTGGTGCTGTGCTGGCTGACTCATCCCTTTCTTCTGTGAGGGGATGTCCAATTGTTTACAGATGGGCTTTCAGTCTCCACTCCAACCCTCCTCATTCGTACAGTATGATTGTTTGTTTCATGTCTTCTAATGTCTGATACCTGATCCCGTCTACTCCTTGTGATCACACCGGCTGGTGTGCTTCTTCCATGTGGGCTTTGTTGCTTCCCTGCTAAATGGCCATTTGTTTAACTCCAAGCCTTTAAGACCCCACATGCTGTAGCGTTTAATAGCCAGGCACTGTCAGCTGTCTTCTCCACATTTGCTCATGCACCCATTTTGTCTTCAGCAAGCATGTTGGAAAGGTGAACATCACAGCATCTTGCACCATCTTCATGATCAAGGCCCCTGTTGTGGCTATTGAGCCGTCTCATTGTGGGTCAATCCATCTCATGGCGGGATTCCCTTGTCTTCACTGACCTTGACTTTACCAAACCAGGTGTCCTTTTCTAGTGATTGGTCTCTCCTGATGGCATGTCAAAAGTAACCGAAGTCCACCATTCTCCTTTCTAAGGAACACTGTGGTTGTATTTCTTCTGAGACTGATTTGCTTTTTTGTTTGTTTGTTTCTTGGCAGTTCATCCTATATTATATGTAATATCTTCCACATTGTCTAGTCTTCTGTCTTGAATTATTCATCGACCTGCAATAATTATTTTTTGGCGGGGGGAGGTAGAAAGTGGGGGTGACAGGTTCTTTTAATTAAAAAAATTATTCGAGATATAATTAATATAGAATATATATATAATACACAGAACTTACACAGTCAGGTCAAGAGGTTTGACAATTACACAGTTGGCTAAGCCATTTCAAACTAAACCCAGCTCATTGCAAGCAGCCTCTTTCAGCCTGCCAGCCCTATTCAGCCCCCACCTGCTATCTGTCTCCATGGGTGAGTTTCACCTGTATTTGTGTTTCACATAAAAGGGCTCAGACAGCACAGACTTTTCTTGTTTCAACAGTCATTTCCACTCAGCAGGTTTTTGATACCCATCCATGTTGTGCTTGGAGCTTGTGTGCTTGTTTCTTCTCTTTATTGCCGAGTAGTTGGAAAATAAAGGAAGCTGTGCATCCCTTGGCCTGGTCATGGATATTTGGATTGCTTCCAGTTTTAATGTGTATAAAGTTACGATAAACATTCTTATATGAGTTGGGGTTTTACTGTTGTTGTTTTGTTTGTGTGTGTACTT